CCTTATAGATACTGTACATTCAAAATCATAGGGATAATCCAAACATGATTTAGTGGCTAGGGCACTGGACCTGGAACGAAGGCTACCTAGGTTTTATTCCTGACTCACTGACTGGCTGTGTGACCTTGGGCTAGTCATTCTAGCTTTCTGTACCTTTGTTTTCCCTCCCACCTTTTATCTGTCTTGTCTGTTTAGACTGTAATCTTTTTGGGGCAGGGGCTGTCTCTTCTTATGTCTCTGTATATACACTGACTAGCAGAATGGGACCTTGATCTCCCTGGGCCCTCTCTGTTACGGCAGTACAAATAATAAGCATGGTAGGCAAAAAAGAGAAACCTACAGCTTCCAAGGGGTGGGTTAGTGGGAAGGGCAGATGGCCTCCAGGGCATTTTTTGCCTGACTTTCGGAAGTGCTGAGTACTCCCATCTCCTGTTATCATTCAGCACCTCTGAAAATTCAGCCCTAACGCTATGAGGCTCAAGTTCTCAGGACTAACTTAAGAACCTCTCTACCGCCTCACCTTGGAAGGCTGCCAAGGCTCACTCAAAAGCCATAATTACAGTTTCCCTTTGACTCTCCAGATTTTCCTTATTCATAATGTGATTTTTGAGCACTTTGCGGGAATAAATCGAACGTGTTCCATTTAATGGGCATTTGATTTGTTTCAGACTTTAGGACCTGCCCTCCTGAGACTTATCACTTGAGGCGGAGAAGCTGACTGTTGCCTACCTAAGCCAGAAAAAAAAGGTGTTTGCTGACTCAAGTTAAAACAAGAAGTCAAAGTGAAGGAAGGACGGCTTTGCGGTTAAGGCGCTGGACTGGATCGGGATTCAGTTGGCACTTCTGGCAAGTCACTGTCTCTCTGTATCTCAGTTCCCTTTCTGTAAACTGGTGGTGATGATCCCTTTCTATTCCCTCCAATCCTGTATCTGTTTAGCCATTAAGCTTCTCAGACAGGACTTACTATGTGCGTGTACAAAGACTACCACAATGGTGTTCTGATCTTGGCTGGGTCCTCAAGGCACTACTATAATGCAAATAAATAATGCTAGAAGACAAGATAGCCGTGTCTTCATCTGTTTGCCCATCAAAGCTGTTGGGTGAATTTTCAGTTCAATTTGACTGGACTGAGTGATCGTTTTGCCAAACAAATAGAAGGTTTGACTTTAAAAGTTCCATGTAAGGCTGAAGTGGCAAACTCTGTAGAAGATAAACTAAAATGTTATGTAGCCTAACCTATCTCTCCAACCCATGCTCATCACTGGTAGCAACAGACTTGGTCTTTGAGGGAGATTGGGGCAGTGGGCCTCCTTAAGGCATTGATCGACAAACAGTCCTCAGTCTAGTGGCTGCAGCACTGGGAGTCAAAACAGGGAAGAACTGGGTTGAAGAAGGAGTGAAACAAATATAAAACTATTTCTTTTTTTTTTAAATGTGTGACAGTCACCTTTAACTGTCCCCAGATACATGGTACAGACTGTCATTTTGGATGAAATACTCTGTCCTACACACAGACTTGATTCTCTTCTCCCCCCCCCCCCTCCCATTTATTGTTGCTATCATTGGCCTTTACCAAACCCTCCAGTTGAATGTAGGTTTTTTTTTTCTAATCTGTAAATGTACTGGCGTTTGCTGGTTCCTCTCAATGTCCTACAGTTGTGTTAAAAAGAACGGTATTCCCATTGGTTTTTTTTTCTATCTGGAGTTAGTTGGGTAGATGATCTATATAAATATCTCACATTTTTTAGCCCCTTTTGAGCTCAAAGATCACAAAGCACTTTGCAAATTATATACTTATAGCACCATGGAAATGCAGTCATCAGTGGGGTTGAGGGTGGCAACCAACTAATTCAACAATGGTGTAGAGGGGAAAATGTTGGTTAAGAACACTGACGTGAATCTCTGCACTTACAAGAGATGCCAGGGGATCTTTGCTATCCATGCAGAGAAGAGCAAATCTTCCCTCTACGCTGCCTGGTACCCGGTTAATCTACCTTCTAAGCGATGGGCTGAGTCCACGCTGCTGGAATTTAAACTTTCAGTCCCAGAGAGACTAGGTATTTCAATCCTGATGTTTAGCCACAAGGGGCTAAGTTCCTATTTCCCCATTGCTGCCAGACCCAATTCACTTCTCCAAGTCTTCATGAAACTCCCCCATGCCATCATGAGGGTCTCATTGCCCCCACTTCTCATGAAGGCATCTCATTCTATTGCAAGAGAATGTTGCTACAAGTGTTGCCTTCCTCTGCCTCCTGTGTTCCTTCCCTTTGTGCTTTTTCCTCTCCTGAGCAGTGTCAGCCTGATGGAGAAGAGGGAATTATGGACAGAATAGACCCATGTCTATTGACTGCATGTTCCTGATGACCCTTGGACTGGCTTTGACTAAGCCATCCTCACCTCCTTCCATTCATTCAACAAAGGCAAGGTTCATCTATTTGCTCAAGCATTCGCTTAAAAGTTGGTTTAAAAGTAGCAAAGGGCTGTTTTCCAAAGGACAAGAGGTTGGTAGCAAGTTGACTGGTTATTATTCCCGCCTAGTTGAGCTATTGTTTTTATTCCGTGTAAAGGGACACAGAGTCTGAAGACTCGTATTTATTTGTTACATAATATATTGTTAAATATGAACCTCTCCTAATCTTTAGCTGCATGTACAAAGCACTGCAAATGATAACACAGACCTCTCAGAAATTCCCTTCAGCTCACAAATAAAACTCGAACCCTCAGTAGCCTCCTGGGAAACCCTCAGTGCATAGGTAAACCTACAGGGCCTGCTGCCGGAATAACACAGTCAGGCTTCGTCAGACTCTTGGAGGAAGTAGGCTACAGAACCCTGGGTGCAAAGCTCATCTATGTATCCAGGTCTTTGGGTGAAATGCTGAGGTGCTGAAGAATCAGGCTCTTTCTTTGAACTAGGTAATCTCAGAGCCCAGTGTAGCTTCCATGGATACAAAAGCTCCTTGGGTGTAGAATCAGGCTCTCAGTTCTGTAGGTCGCCGTTTTTGAGCAGTGAGAGTTTGACACTAATATATTCTGTGTTTAAAATTATTGATTTCCCCCCCCCCCCCCATCGACGTAGATTTTTTTTTGTAATAGGAGCATTGTATAAATCAAAATAAATAGCAGCATATATACTGGTGTCTATCCCTTTTTATTTAGAGGCATTTCTACAATGCCTGTAACGTTGAGCTCTTCACAAATATTAGTGAATTTATCCTGACAACCCCCTTTCCCCTGTGAGGCAGGGAAGTGTTATCCCTATTTGACAGGTGTGGATTCTGAGGCACAGAGAGAGACAACCCAGCTGTCCTGACTCTGTCCTGTGCCTTAACCATAAAACCATCCTTATTCTATTAGGGTAGCCCTGGAAGCCCCCTCCAAGATTGGGGACTTATGTATGTACAGCAACAATTACAATATCAGAGAGTCCCTGCTCTGAAGAGGTTACAGTCTAAATAGACAAGACAGACAAGGTGAGAGAAAAGAAGTGTTTTATTATCCCAGGTTTACAGATGGGGAGCCGAGGCACAAAGAAATAGACAGCTGGCTCATATGATATCTCAGCCTTCAACTCTTTGAAGTGACGTGCCCAGGCTCATACAGCCAGTCTTTAGCGAAGCTAGGACCAGAACCATGAATTCTGGACTCTCAGTGGGATGCCTAAACCACCCCTCCCTCTCTTCTGTTTAACGTAGCTACAGTAGAACCTCCGCGTTATGAACACCTTGGGAATGGAGTTTGTTTGTCGCTCTGAACAAAACGTTATGGTTCTTTCAAAAGTTTACAACTGAACATTGGCTTAATACAGCTTTGAAACTTTACTATGTAGAAGAAAAATGCTGCTTTCCCTTTATTTTTGTTAGTAGTTTGTTTAACACAATATTGTACTGTATTTGTGCTTGCTTTTGGGGGGGGGGGGGCTCTGTTTTCTGCCTGATTGTGTCCTTCCAGTTCTAAATGAGGCGTGTGGTTGACTGCTCAGTTCATAACTCTGAGGTTCTACTGTATTGTATTAGGGTGACCAGATGTCCTGATTTTATAGGGACAGTCCTGAAGTTTGGGTCTTTTTCTTTATATAGGCTCCTATTACCCCTCACCCCCTGCCCTGATTTTTCACATTTGCTATCTGGTCACCCTACTTATTACTGATTATACTCTATTATCTGCATTGTGGTAGCACAGAGGCAGGCCACTCATGCACCAGGACCCCACTGTGTTGTGTTAGGCATTGTACAAATGCAACAATAAAAAAAGCCAGGCTCAGCCCCCAAAGAATTTAATGGATTTGTCTCATCTGCTTTGCCTTCCCTCATTGTTTATCTTAGAGTGCTGACGGGGGCTCTGATGCAGGAGTGCTTTACACATTCATAGATAAACACAATCAGAAAGAAAAGCAAAGGAGACATTTAGTTTATCCTCCCTTTGCGGTAGAGACCTTCAATTTCTTCTACGTGTGTCCAACATCGGGTGACCAGATATCAAGTGTGAAAAATCAGGACTGGGGTGTGGGGGAATAGGAGCCATTGTTTAAAAAAGCCCCAACTCTCTGGGCTGTCCCTATAAAATCGGGACATCTGGTCACCCTAACACGCGGGCTCTCGGTTTATGACTGAGGCTCTTCAGAGCTCCTGCTATATAAATAATATATTCCACAGGGATTTCATTTGAACTCTCCCTCCCTGCATGGTGTGCACTGAGTCCGGAGGGGCTCAGCCGGCTCTGTGTGGCCTCCTCTCTCCCCTCCTCGGGCAGCAGCGGTGCTGCTAGGGTGACCAGATGTCCCCATTTTATAGGGACAGTCCCGATTTTTGGGTCTTTTTCTTATATAGACTCCTATTACCCCCCCCCCGTCCTGATTTTTCACACTTGCTGTCTGGTCACCCTAGCTGAGGGCGAAGAAACTCAGTGCATGGCAGGCGGGGGGGATGCTGCTGACTATGGAAGAGGCGGGGGAGAGGCTGGGCTTGGAGAAGGGGAGGGAGGAGAGACGGGCGAGGGAGGGGCGGGGAAGGATTCATCCTCCTCGGGCAGGAGGTTGGCTGGGCTCCTGTCCCCGTGCCGGCGGGGGGAAGGCGGCTCGGCCGGGCGCAGGGCGGCGGTGCCGCGGGGGAGCGAGCCCGGGGCCATGGAGCGCTGGAAGGGCCGAGTGGCGCTGGTGACCGGCGCCTCGGTGGGCATCGGGGCGGCCGTGGCCCGGGCGCTGGTGCAGCACGGCATGAAGGTGGTGGGCTGCGCCCGGAGCGTGGACAAGATAGAGGTATGGGGAGGGGGGGAGGAGAAATGGGAAGGGGTCTCTGTGCCCCCCCCCACGGGTTTTGGGGGTGGACCCACATCCCCGTCTCCACTGGGGCGCAGCCTCTCCGCCCGCCCCTTTATTGTTAGCGCTCCCGGTGCGGGCTGCGCACAATGCCGGGTCCCCCCCCTTCACGTGGGGGAGCCGAGGTGCCTGGTTCCCCTTCCAAAGGGCGGCCCGGAGGACCCCCACCGCCGAGGGGGAGAAAGGGGATGAAAGATCTGGGGACTCCGTGCAAACATCCCCTGTCCCCATTATTCTTCCAGTGCATTGGGGGGCGGGGGCACGGAAGGGGTTGGGAAGTGGGGGAGGCCCTCAGTTAAACTCTTATTCCCACATCTGAAATTTGCTAGAGCTCTTCCCTTCCCACCTCTCAGGTCACTGGTTAAAGTTGCAGATCCCCTGTGTTGGTTGATAGTTTCCCCAAGCCTTACCCTCTCTATTGAGCTGTCAGATTAAAATTCAAAGCCAAGGTTTTTTCCAACGTGACTGGTAAGTCTGGTTGGCTCCATTTTGGGGGGGCTCATTTGAGGTGCTTTTAAAGGGACCTGATTTTCAGAAGGTGGGTTCTTAGCACTTTTTGAGCTTCAGGTCCTTTGAAGGTATCTCTCAGCCTGGGCACCCAAAACCACTAGCCATTTTTGAAAATCATGGCCCATATTTTTTTGGAAAGTATCTTCTGTGTGTATTAGAAATAATGTTTTTAGCTTAAATTTTAAAACTGGACTGAGTTCTGTAATTTTTGCTGTTTGTTTACTTTCCACACTTTTGACTTTGGAAAATAGTCCTGTCAATTTCACTTCTGTTTCTGAGCCCAGTTTGTAGTCCGTTTTACTCTCCTGTTCTAGCACAATGCTGCAGTGTATGGGTTGCAGACATTTCAGGGAAATGGGTATTAAAACAATTACAAAAACTGTTGCCATTGGAATTAAATTGTAAAAATTCCTGGAAATATTTCTGTTGCTGCTAGGGTTTCTAAAGATGGGTTTTTACAAAACCTAAATTTAGGACCAAGTTTGACCGGAGTGTCCCTCTAGTTAAATAATACTAATAAAACACTTTGACCTCAGTAGATGAAAATATGTATAGAAGTGCCAAGTATTACATTATGCAGCTGACTGTATATTAAAATGGAGCAGCAAGGAGGGTTGGATAGTAAAGGGTGTGTTGGTTGAGGAGGACCATGGGGAAAAAAGGTCAGATCGTGTTTTGAGGGAGATTGTGGAGGGTAGTTGGGTAAGGGGGCATTTTGCTTTACAAGGACTTACCTCCATTGCAGAATTGTATAGTGTTTGAAAATGATTGTGAACAAATGAGTTAGCTGACACGAGTCTGACCACATCTAAGTGGACAAATTGTGTTCAGAATCATCATCTGGTCAGCTAAATGTGATTCATGATCAGTCAGCTGATATGAAGCTAAAAACCATTTGTCCTGGTCTAGACAGACCACTCAGATGTGGTCAGAAGCATCATGTCAACTAATTCAACTGTTAAAAATTATGTTCCAACACAATACAATTTTGCAATGTAGAAAATCCATAAGGGATAATAGAGGAATGGTGGTGAGATTAGAGAGGGAGTTTGGTGAATAACAGGGAACATATCTTGTAACAAGATGTCCTTAACAACTAAGTGACCTCATACTATATTTCTGTAAAAACCTCATGTGCTTATCCTCCTCTTTCCCTCATCTATGATGGCTTTCACTTGTTGCATCATGGCTACCAATATAATCTAAGCTCTTTGGGGCAGGAATTGCACCTTGCTCTGTTAGAAAGGTTTCTGGTACATTTTGGGTGTTACCCACATTAAAATAATAAATACCATAGTATAAATACTTATGAGTGTGTAAAATTCATAAAATGTAGCTGAAGAATGGTTTAATATTCTGCATAACTGTTCACACCAATTTGAAACCTAGTGTTTATGAATGTGTATTATTTCCGGAAAGGGCTGTGAATGAAGTTCACTAAAGATATGCAAGTCACCTGTGATTGTAAGGGTGAAATACATTCACGTATACGCTATTTTTTTTATAAGACTACACGTTGTCTCATATCTTGTGGCTGCTGTTATAATGTTATAATATAATTGACTCACCTAGCAATAAATGTAAAATATAGTCTCTCCTTTGCCGGCTTGATTACACTTTGTACAGTAATTCAGTTTTATTATAGATCTTTTAGGCCCCAACTCATCAAAACCGTTAAACACATGTTTAACTTTAAGTTCATTTTTGAATTCACTGTGTCTTACGTATATGCTTAAATGCTTGCATGAACTGGGGCTTCAGTGCGTAAGTTGGGAAGACAGTTGTGGAGTAGAGTTATACCACTAGCCAACTATAATTATACAGTATTATTCTCAGAAATCACTGGCTAGAAGTTACTTATCATTATATTTTTATTAGGTTACGTCTTAAAAACACACACGTGTTTGTGTGTGTGTGTATTCATTCTATTTTGATAGTTAAATTTGTTGCCTAGCGGTTTAGGTTTTAATCCTTTGAGGGAAAGTAGCTTGTTAATTTAGTTGGGGGGTAAAATTTATGTTTTGCTAGAGAGTAAAGCATGTTTTTTTTCTTTTTATTATGTAAAGATTCCCAAAAGCTTGATTTATCCTTTGTCCAGACAGATCTTTCTGTACAACATTGGCTCTACAGAGCTAGTTAAAAGCTAAGCAGTAACATGGTTTATGTAAATATTGACAGCTTCTAATGATCTCCAGCAATGTATTTGGAAATTTGAGGTACTAAAAATGCTGGCTTTATTGTTATGCCGCTACAGAGAGAGGGGAAAAATACGTCCCAACAAGCCTGAATTGGGAGACTAGAGCCTGGGGAATAGGGTGGCAAGATTCTGAAGACAGAAATACCCGTATATAAAATATGGTGAAGCTTTGAGAGAGTGGCTGTGGTAATAGAGAAGAATATCCAAGACGTCTAGGGAACGTTTCTTGGCTTTATTACCAATAGGGCTGCTGCAGATACATGTTTAATAGTCTCTGTTTGCCTTGCATAGTCTAGCCATGGAAATGAATTTCAACTTTTTCTTTCATCAGCTCTTCCCCTGAGATTCCTGCCCTGTTTCTAATCAGATTTTTCACAAAGCTCTTTGTTCAAAGAGAAGAATTGGAGGCTGTACCGTTAAGTTTTAAACATAACTCAACCAAAACCTGCCTTTATTTACCACGTACTGCCTGTATTTAAGATATAATTTTGTTGTTTTTTAGCTTCTGTGTTGTAGGAAAGTATTATTTTTAAATTGTCTGAAAAACAGAATTGGTTTATGTTCTGAGATGACTGGAGGTACACAGCATTTTAAGGCACTTATTGTTTATGTGTGGTTTAATAAATCTTATCTAGGCCTTGTAAATCCATCTGAACAATGGAGAAATGCTTGTCTTGCCATACTTGAGGTTAAAATAGCTTTTCATTTTAAAGTTTTGTCCCTACAGCAAACTTTCCCAGAACTAAACCAAATTAACTGAAATGTTATAGATTTTTTTTTTATGCCAGTGTAGGAAATTTTTTGGGCAAGCCTAAGGTATATGAAACAAGTTATTTGGGACCATGTTCATATATATTTTGAGGACACCAAAAGTCCAAAATGGTTTGGCCTAAAAACTCCAAAATTTGTTTTAATATGTTGGTGTTGGCAGGGACTGTTACCGTGGAGTAGTTGTGGATGGAATTGTACAGTAATTACATTGCTGAATTGTACAGTTATTTGAAGCAGTTTTTGCATAGCTTAACAACTCTGTGGAGTTTATAAACTCTTGCTGGAGGGGGGAGGAATAGCTCAGTGGTTTGAGCATTGGCCTGCTAAACCCAGGGTTGTGAGTTCAATCCTTGAAGGGGCCACTTGGGGATCTGGGGCAAAATCAGTACTTGGTCCTGCTAATGAAGGCAGGGGGCTGGACTCAATGACCTTTCAAGGTCCCTTCCAGTTCTAGGAGATGGGATATCTCCATTATTATTATTATATCATTGATGGCCATCATGTGGGGAGAGGCAGTGGGAAACCACATAGGGGAGAGAAGAGTGGGCTGGCATTCAGGGGAACAGAACAGAGAGAGCCTCATGGGTTGAGATAGAAGAGTTGCACCTAACCAGTCAGGAAGCAAAAATAATGTCATGTGACCCATCTATCCAATCAAAATTAACTAATATACAGCATTTTGAGCTTAAAATATTACATAACCACAATAATCTTCTTCTAAGTAAGCTATGATAGTAGTATTTGCCAAATAATATGAGGTAAGAAGCTTATGCCCAAATAAATTTGTTAGTCTCTAAGGTGCCACAAGGACTCCTCGGTTTTTTTGCTGATACAGACTTACACGGCTACCACTGAAATCTGAATAATGAATGAATCTGAAAAATATATAAGCTGGTTGTGGATGAGTTGCAAATAGAGAATAGTCATCAGGGTAGATCCTCAGCTGTAAAGATCAACATCAGTCCAGTGAAAGCAATAGAGTGAAGCTGATTTACCAACTAGAATCAGGACTTCAATTCATTAAATAAATTGTTCCCTATGAGTTATTCATTTTGCTTTAGTTTAGTTTAAAACCGAAGCCAAGTACACCAGTCTTGACTCCACAGGTAAACCCCACAAAGGAGGTGAATTTGATTTGTCTGTAGTCACAGGCTACAAACTTCTTCAAATCGTCATCAGGTCCTACTTCATTTAAAAGTCCTCCATCTAATATCTCCATCTTATATGCAAAGGGTAAAATCCTGATGCCATTTAAGTGAATGGAAGTTTTGCCACTGACTTCCATGGGCCAAGATCTTGTCCAGAGTCTGAGCCAAAATCTATTGAAGTCAGTGGAAAGATTCTTATTGACTTCAGAAAACATGGGACCAGTCCCTGTGAGCACAGGGCCGAAGGGGCAGAATTAAGGTAATTGGAGTGGCCTCAAATCAGTATTGCCAGCCCCAAGCATTCAAAACTCACA